GCTCTTGCCCTGGAGCCAGGAGGAGGTGTGCGTACTGCTATGCACCAGAACAGGACACCTCGATACAGGCATACAGAATGACGAAGGGAAGACTAGCACTGGACCCTGAACACAAGTTCAGTGGCAGACTGCAATAGACAAGAAGGTTCGAATGAAGAAGAGGCAGTAAGAGCACTGTAGAATTAGCTCTTTGCATAGTTCAGCTGCATAGTAGTTTTCCTTCTCCAGCAAACTATCCGATCTTCATGTGAGGCAGGATAAAATCTTGCTTACTTAAAATTACAAGGCTCTGATTGCAAGGTGAGCCAAATGTACCCTGACAGTGCTCTGCCATGTCCTTCTGTCTGGGCACAAAGCTGTACTTTCTTTAGGTAATACAGTTACTCAGCATTAGAAGGTACACTTTACTCCATGAGGAGAAAATTTGACTCATTCAAGTTCTATTTTCCATTCTCTACCTGTTCTTTTCATTCATTCCACCATAAGGGAACCTGAGTGAAGCCCATGTTATGTACTGGCTTACTATATTCTATGCTATCTGATGTCCTAGTTACACTAAAGGAGCAAATTTGTGTTTGATTTTATTCTTGCTCCTTGTTAATAGCATTTTAATAAGGTCAAGCTGTCAGCTGAATTTGGCCTTTTTGCTTAATTAAGCCATTTTGTGAAACAAACTCACCATAAAAGTTATCACAGATGTAATAGCAGGATTGCAGACACTTATGGCAAAATAACTGTGAAAGGTTAGGGAAGATCCCATAAGTACTGGCAAAGAGGCAATATCTGAGCTTTAAGGCACTGACTATTTATACTTGAACATTTTTGTTACCACCTATAGATGCCATCATGTAATAATACTTGTAATGTTGAGGCAGACTTCAGTCATAAATAACCTGGATATATTTTAATAGGTGGATTTTTAAAGGCTTCCCATGTGCCTGTGGACAGCAGGTCCAGTTGGAAAGCAAATCCAGATGCTTTAGACAACCAAGCAGTGAAAACAAGAGTTCGTATTGCTACCAAAAGCATTTTTTTGAAAAGAGATCAGATTGGATTTATGGGTTACACTAAAACTTTATGTTATCGGATGAGAAATAAACCAGACTGTCTTCCTAATCTGTGCCATGACAGAAGTTTGAA